TAACAGTTTTTATAAACTGTTTTTCATACAAAAAAAGGATAAAGCTTAAAACAATTTTTAAGTTGGAAACAGTTTTTAAGTTTAAAACAATTTTTAAGCCTCCAAAACTGTTTTTAAGTTTAGTAAGTTTTGAAATGATTTGTATAACTTCCTTATAAAAACTGATTTTAATACAAAAAATGAATTTTATAACTTTCTTATAAAAAGTAAAAAAACTCATATAGGTGGCAGCCAAGGAGGAGGCAGTCGCGGAGGAGGCAGTCGAGGTGGCAACCGAGAAGGCCAATGTGGAGGCAACCGAGAAGAAAATGAGACCGAAGAAGATTATCTATATGATGATTCTAGATATTATCATAATGGTGGCCGGAAGAGCTTGTAAATGATATACATTTTTAATTTAAATTGAACATTGTTTATTTATACTATAATTCTAGTCTGTTTATTATTACTTTTATTCCAGTCTGTTTGTTAAATAAAATGTGTATTCTAATAGTCTGTTTATTACTTTTATTCTAATATGTTAATTTTATTCTAATATTTGAAACATATTTTTTAATTTTTTTTAAAACAAAAAAACTTTAGTCACGGATTTATGACCGTGACTAATACGAAATTTCAAAAATTTGAAAATAGGAACCGCGGTTTTTTTGAAAATTTTCAAAATTTCAAAATTTGAAAACTTAGTCACGGATATTTCCGTGACTAATTTGGCCGCATTTTTAAAAAAAAAATATTTAGTCTATGCATGATTTTTGAAATATTAAACTATTAAGTTTAAAAATTGGTCGCTACATTTAGTCATCCGTGACTAAGATCCGTGACTACATTTTTTTTTAATTTTTTTTATTGTAGTCACGGACGTGTCCGTGACTAAATATTTTTTTTTTAAAAAAATGCGGCCAAATTAGTCACGGAAATATCCGTGACTAAGTTTTCAAATTTTGAAATTTTGAAAATTTTCAAAAAAACCGCGGTTCCTATTTTCACGTATCTAGTCCGTGACTAATCCGTGACTACATTTAGTCACGGACTATTTTGCGTGACTAAATTTAGTCACGCCCAAACAGACACGGATTTAGTCACGGACAAAATCCGTGACTAAAGGAGTTAGTCACAGATTTTTTAAACTAGAGTCCGTGACTAAATCCGTGACTACAACCGAATTTTTTTGTAGTGATAGAGAGACTATTTTCGGATGACCCATAGTGAAAATCGCATTCAAAATTGCAATATTAACAAGATATTTACCGATATTAAAAAAACAAGATTTTTACCAATATTAAAAAGGGAAAATAACTTTAAATAATACAAATTATCTTCCATGAACCAAGAATAATACATACTTTGGAAATAATTTTTAATAATACTAACTATTTGAATGTAAACCAACAATAAAATAAAGTCACTTTTCTACAAGAAATACGGTCATATAAGACATCAAAAACTAATATCAAATCATCAAATAATTGATATTTAGAAATAAGATCATTTTTTGGGTATTTTGATAATTGAATTAGTTTTTGATGAGTTAAATAATTGAATTTCTAGTTTAAAATTGCTATATAGGAAGTATTACTGTTGAAATATATTCAAATAATTGGTATTACTAAAAGTTATTTTTAAAGTTCATATTATTCTTAGTTCATGAAAAATGGAAGATATTTGGAATTATATTATTTAAAGTTATTTTCCGAAAACAAAAGATATTTACCATGTTGTTATTTACTCCGTAATTTTTCGAAGACTGATCATTGGGCTTTCTCCACTGCATTCTTTATCGAAGACTGCCTAGTCAGTTGCTTCATTGACCTTCCAATTGACTAATAATGGAGAGAGGATCATGCATATTTAATATTTTTATGCATATTTAATTCACGGTAAAAGTTTAGAAATGATTCTATTGGCGTATAGATATGTTTTTTTTCTCTGATAAAAGTAAAAACTGGACCAGCCTAACGAAGACCTTATCTTAGCATAGACCTCGAGTCATTGGACATTTTTAGACCCAAAATGAAAAGAAAAAAAACGTTGATAGATGCTCATTTTTACAAGCCTATATATACTCCAAAAATGATCTTTGTACTCACTCTTATACCCACTTTTGTACCCACTTATATTTGTGAAGTGTTTTTTTTTGTCTGTGAACCCCGACTCATAGACTATTTTGCACAAACAAAATATTGTCTATAAACCGGGTTGATATATACACACGTCATTTTTACATGACCTGTTCATATGTCATTTTAAGATTGTTTCATCTCTCATTTTTCATTCGTTCTAATAAAATTTTCATACTAAATTTGATAAAGTTGTTTGATTTGAAATCTTTGTACTTTAATCATACTTTACCAACAAGATATTTATTGATATTAAAAAACAAGATATTTCCCATAAATGTTGTTATTGTCTCATCTTTCTTTTTCTATATGTTCCAATAAAATTATCTCACATCAAGTTTGGTAAAAGTCTTATGATTCTAAATCATTTTACTTTAATTATACTTTACCAATTCAATATCAATTTATTAAACTCATTTATTTAATAACTATATTACCTCTTAATGTCCGATTATGAGGAATCGACTGGGAGAATTTCTTTGGGCAGCTTGCTTTCCGATTCAAGCTTCGATGAGTGAAGAAGCGGAGGAGCGTGCACTGATTAGGGCGTGCGAACTGGCGATGGATATGGGATATGAAGACTTTCAGGTGGAAGGTGATGCGATTAACTCCATTTCCTTCATCTCAGGTAATGTCAACGAGCAGGAGATAGGTTGTTTTTGGACATTTAGAAATCGGGCTAAAGACAAGGGTCTGGTTTTCGAACACACACTGCGAGAAGGAAACTATGTGGCCCATTTCTTAGCTGGAACTGAACTTGGTGAGGCCCAGTTAATTCTGTTTAATCGGGTGGACCAACTTCCAATTCGAGCAAAACAGAGCTATTATGCTGATTTATTTGGATGGCCGCACTTTAGATTATAGTTGTAACTTTCTGGGTGTTTTTGCCATCCAGGAATATTTTTTTTTCCTCTCATTTGTACCTCATTATTTTAATTAATAAAATCTGGCAAATGTCCCCCGGCATTTGCCCCACTGATTTTGGTGGTTTGCCTTTCGGGATAAAAAAAAAAATAATAATAATAAATTAATAACTATATAAATGTATATAGTTTGTCAGGTTTGATCCCACCAACGCAACAATGAATGATTAGTTTATTAATTTTCGGACATTAAGAGGTAATATAGTTATTAAATAAATGAGTTTAATAAATTGATATTGAATTGGTAAAGTATAATTAAAGTAAAATGATTTAGAATCATAAGACTTTTACCAAACTTGATGTGAGATAATTTTATTGGAACATATAGAAAAAGAAAGATGAGACAATAACAACATTTATGGGAAATATCTTGTTTTTTAATATCAATAAATATCTTGTTGGTAAAGTATGATTAAAGTACAAAGATTTCAAATCAAACAACTTTATCAAATTTAGTATGAAAATTTTATTAGAACGAATGAAAAATGAGAGATGAAACAATCTTAAAATGACATATGAACAGGTCATGTAAAAATGACGTGTGTATATATCAAAAAAAAAAAAAATAATAATAATAAATTAATAACTATATAAATGTATATAGTTTGTCAAGTTTGATCCCACCAACGCAACAATGAATGATTAGTTTATTAATTTAAGATATAACAAGACGTTAGAATGTAATTACTGTTAGCCAGTGATCTTACTTTGGAATAATCTACACCAATTTAGGTACCTACTTTTGGCAAATGAAAGCAATAGTATTTGGAGGAATATTTTAGGTGTATGTTACAATATCCATTAAGAATAGTATACTATACTCCGTATTGTATTTTGATTGGTCTTTTTTTAGAAATGTATTTTGATTGGTCTAGACAAAGTACGTTACACCATATTGTATACTCAATCTGTCCTTTTTTTGGCAAAACTTTACGGAGTATAATGTTAGTATCGGTTATACGTTAACACTAAGAATGTTTTCTTTTGGATTGTTTTAAGTCCCAAATCAGTTCAAATCAAATCAGATCAGATCAGATCAGACTTCTATAATTAAAAAATACACAGAGGTCAGACGTTTATCAGACCAGACCAGAACAAAGCAGCCCAGACCAGCAAACTTTAGTCCAAATGAAAACATCCTAACATTCTTGAACTAGGATGAGATTCGAACCTATGACTTCCTCCTTAAGAGTGTCACAGTGATGTTATCAGATCAGAAGATACTTGGCTTCAATTCGTCCCTTTTTATTTAGCTAAATTTGACTTTTCAAGTCAATAATACAGTACCTAATTTTGACCAATTAGTATAGTTATGTATATAATCATTGATAATATGATAATGAAACTTCTTATGATATGTTCTTTGTAAAAATTGTTACAGAAAAAGTATAAAATTGTTAATTTTCACATAAATATATTATTTAAAATAATTGATCAAAAGTTATCATTTTAGATTGAAAAAATGAAAAATGATTAAATAAAAAGGGCACACAAATAACAGGTAATAAGTTAAATTTGTCAATATTATATTCTTTCACACCAAAAGATGCAATTGTTCACCGCAATACTCCATCCTAACTGGAGAAGTAAACATGACAAAGAATTTGTGAGTGACCGGTGGGCGTAGCCCACTGGTAGTGAGAGAGTGTCACAAGGATTAGGTCTCGGGTTCGACTCCCGACAACTGCGATGAGAGGTTACTCAAAAGAGGGTCTCTGCAAGTACCGGGAACGAAGCTCCACTCTCTCTGCCAGTTTGTGATAATAGTCTAATTTACATCCTCTCATCGTGCTGTTCGGTCGGTGTTGGGACCCTCAGGAATGAGGTATCCTCCTTTTTTTTAAAGAATTTGTGAGTGAAGTAGTAGAATGCATCAATATTTTATTTATGTTTCCATGGATGGCCCAGCTTCCAACACCCAGCTGACTATTAAAAAGGATCAGAACCTTGAGAAGATAGAGATCCCAAACTCTCACCGCTATATTTCCCTCAAAAAAAAAAAAAACTCTCACCGCTATACAGGACACAGTTTATCTCTCTCTGCCTCTCCATTTTCTGGTATTCTTTTCTTCTCCGCCGCTTCGGAGGCAGCTGCCGACTCACCCGGCGCCGCCATCCCGCCGTCAACCCCCGCTCTAAGTCCGACCGTCGGTGCAGCTCTGTTCTGTCTGGTGGGGCTATTCTCTGATATGTCGTTTTTCTTGTGCTTGAGAATCAAGGCGAGGCGGAAGCGGGCCTTGGAAGGGCGGCGCGTGGATGTTGTTGTTGACGACGCGCCGGGAGGAGAGAAGGGGGTGAGGGTATATTCCGGCCAAGAATTGGAGAGATTCTCGGCGAACTTTTCAAGGTCCCGCGTGATTGCTTATGGAGGTTTCAGCACTGTTTATCTTGGCAAATTTCCCGATTTGACACTGGCAGCTATCAAGACCATAGATAGTAGCAGTGATAGGTTACAGAGAATCTTCAAGCAGGAGCTGGAGATCTTGTTGAAGATCAAACACGACAACATCGTCAAGATCCTCGGATACTCCGAGGAAGGAACTCTGGTTCTAGAGTATGTCCCCAATGGAACCCTCCAGGAGAATCTCCACGGGGCAAAAGGGTCTTTTTTGCGGTGGAAGCACCGGACGGCGATCGCCTTCCAGCTCGCCGGAGCTCTGAACTATCTCCACCAACAATGTGAGATGCAGATCGTCCACGGCGACGTCAAATCTTCAAACATACTCTTGGATTCGGACATGAATTGCAAGCTCTGCGATTTCGGGTCTGCGAAAATGGGATTTTCCTCCACGGTTTTCCCGCCCGCCTCGCCTTCCCAGCACAGGATGATCGGGTCTCCGGGATACGCCGATCCTCACTACTTGAGGACCGGAATATCCTCGAAGAAAAACGACATTTACAGCTTCGGGATTCTATTGTTAGAGCTGATCACGGGTCTTGATGCGGTTTCATCCCACAATGACAATGTGAGTTTGATAAAGAAAGTTGGGCCAATGTTGAAAGATGTTTCTAAGGTTGCTGAAATGGTTGATAGGAGACTATCAGGGGAATATGAGCTTGAAGAAGCTATGGCTATGGCTTCCCTTGCTGCTTTATGCCTCATTGATCCTCCCAGCTTGAGGCCTTCAGCATCAGACATTATAGAGACTATGAGGAATTGCATTGCATCACTTGCCTAGCTAGGAAGCTAAAAGGAACCATTGGATTCTCATAGATTTGAGGACAAAGTTTTCAAGATTGATCTACTTCAACAAATCAACCACCTCAATAGTCAATACTGGACATATAAATCATTCACCAAAGTATTTTGTGAAATTTGAAGATAGAATCCAAACTTTTAAACCATAGATAAAGTATTGTGGGGCTTTAGAAATTAGAAATGATATTTGTCATGAAAATTTATTGCAATAGTTTACCATACACCAATCTCTTGTCATCTTGTGTATAAACTTTTGTGAGCTGTTAACTTTTCTTGGAAGTTGGAAGGAACTTGTTGTTCATGTGATTATGATTGCTGATCAATTTGCTGTGATACGATGTACATGATCAGATATTTGACACCATATAAGGACCAACTAAATTATTTGGCACCATATAAGTTCCATATAAAACAAAAAAATCATAAAGGGACTTGCATGATTGCATGTATTTACTCGCATAATCTAATACAAGGTCAGCCGAGGGTACAACCATTAAAACCTTTAGGCCTAGGAAACAAAAATAGGTGATATGTTTATGTAGTTCGTATAAGATAGTGATATATGTGGGGGAGCCGTTCAAATTGACTTGAAAGTGAATATTTGAACGTGAAACATTTTCGGGATAAATTTAGAGACAAATTTAACTTTTCTATAATCATGTATAGTGGCAGAACCAGAAAAACATCTTAAGAATCAAAATTTAATCATGTTGAGCAGTGAAAGGTTGGATCACTTTGAAACAATATTTGAGCTCAAATAATTCATGTATATGTGTGACCAATGTCGGTTCAAATACGAAATACTATCGTCAAAAGTTATTGGCTATATATATTATAAAATTCATATAGTTAATGTTGAGTGAATGCGTGGTTATCTTTAAAAAATGGAAACTATAACTAATGTTGTGCATCAAGTTTTACTCGGTTTAAGTTCAAATGATGTTGATTTTCTAGTAATCATGAATTTTATTCATAATAATTTATGGGAGCTATATTATTTTAAATGGATATTTAAAATATCCATGCTCAATCTTTCAAAGTGGTCTATTGACCACCCTCTATCCACCTTGGCTTTACCTGCGGTCATGTACATATATGACAGTACAAAAGTTATTCAGATAGTTTAAAGCTACAAGTAATGGGATGTGGATAGAAATCCCTTAGCTATCAATATAAAAGTTTTGCTACTAAAATAACTATGTAGAGTGTATTTTTCAAAATAATTATTAGTAGTTTATATAATAAAAACGTAACATAGTGATAAAAATTGTAAACCACAGTAAAAATGAGATAATGAAACTCTATAAATCATTAAGTGACAATTGTGTAATACTCCGTACTATAATGTAGAATTATAATGCAACGTAAAATATACATTGAAGTAGAAGATTACATGCTATGGAATTGGACAATTTTCTATACACATCATTTAATTCCAATCACATGAACTCTCATCATTTGGAATTAGAACTTTGAAATCACTAATGTTCATAACGTTAGACATAGCAACCCAAAAAATGGTTTCACAAAAATTGTTTTCACAGTCCTTATGAGGAAGCAATAAACAATTTAGTTCGTACGGGCACCAAAGAGAAAAAGCTAGAAACTTCAATTAAACTAGCTACTTGAGGAGAAATTGTCAATATCAATTTGATTAGTTATAGAAAAGAAATCCAATCGAGTCATAGTACTCGATGCCCGAAGTTAACCTCCAAAAATTAAACGAGACAATCATTATCGACCATTAATAATAAAATTTCAACACGCAAACAGTTCCACTAGTGAAAAATACACCAACTTTATATATCGCCCGGAAGAAACTATAAAAATAACTCAAAAATACTGAATAAAAATATCTTTTTTCAACTTTAGAAGGAGAAGAAATATTAGTGGCATTTAATTTTTAGAATTAGAATTTCCAATCGCCAATTCTAATTCCCTTTCCTATACAACAAAATGAGACTTTAAACAAAATTGGAGTTGTGATTTGTGAAGATGAGAGCTTGTAATTTTGTATTCCCAATTCATTTTCAATATCCTTAAAATCCCACAAAACAAAATCGACATTTGAAATGTATCAATATACTCCTGGGCTTCATGCTAAACTTGTTACTATCTCCGTCCCTTAAAACTTTGTCAAGTTTGACCGGCATGAGAATTAATAAAGTAAAAACTGTATGGTTGAGATTTGTGCAGATGAGAGAGAATGAACTGCAACCACAAATTCTTTACTTGAAAGAGAAAGTGACAAAATTATTGAGACATCCCAAAAAGGAAAGTTGCAAAATTTTAAGGGAGGGAGTAATTGTTACTCTAGTCTTTTTGCCGCCATCCGTCACTTTTCAGATTCAAATTTTCACCAGCGGAGAGCTAACTGAGGCATGCTTCCTGTACACCTTTCCCCCCAATGCATATTTAGGTCGCCGTTTTCAAATTTTCCGAAACAAACATAAAGTGTAGCCAAGCATAAGGAGACCATCTTGCAGATCGGGGACTTGGAATCCTCATTCGGTGCCTATCAAAGAGATTGTTGTTGATTGTAATATCGATATTTACGAGCTCCACTTTGACCTTCATAAGCATACGTTTTTTCATTTACGGTTTCAAAATGCTAAGAATTCCGGTTGCTCCTGCCTCATGAGTTCAGATTGACATTCCTTTGAAACTTACTAACGATCTGTGCGAACTGCTCGACTTTTTCTGATTAAGGCACTTCTCCAATCTCCATGCAGCTTTGGTGATCATTTCTATTTTTAAGTGTGTCTGTTCAGCTCTCTTATGGTTTGTTTGGTGTTTGTTTTCCTTAGAACGAATTATATTTTCAATGTAATATGCCAACAAGCACGGTTCATTTGAGACTTAGAGGTGTTAGTTTTGTCAGTTGGAGTAAATTTTTTATAGCTATGTTCATTGTTCTTTTGATACTTCTGCATTAACGATTGATGACTACAACAAATAAGTGTTATTTGAGGATATTCAGCAATTCAGATAGGGTAACTTCTCTCAGTAAATAACAGAATGCCATATAAATTTTCAACACATTGAGCATGCCTTGATGTTGTTTTGATTAGTTTCGTGTCTCTCAGTTCTTGCTATCTTTATGTAACATGGATTGTTGTTCCTAGCATTCAATTGCTGGCTTATTTATTTACTTACTACGTATTTATTTATCAGGATCCATTAGACAAAATAAATTGTGTCATATATTTCGGAGGTTGAAATGAGGTGCAATGCATGCTGGATAGAATTGGAAGGGCAAGCCATCTCCACCACATGTGGTCACATCTTCTGTATCCAAGTCACATGTGTCTGTACTCACACGCTCACATATGTATCCATGCCTCAATTTATGCATTGAGACTCGTCGTCTGTATAGATTTCCTTAAACCATACTATTAGGTACAGAAGATGCCGATAAAATTCTCAGTACTGATGCTGCTTGCCCTATATGTAGTCAAGTCCTCTCTAAAAGGCAGGTTCTTATACTTGATTTGTAATAAATGCAGATAATTCTTTGATTGTTGTGTTTTATCATTTTTGCAAACTTACAAGTACTTAAAGGAATGCTCATTTTTCCCACCTTCATGCTATATGATTGTTCTGATAAGTTTGGATTGGGTCTTTTATTTTTAACTTGATGCAATTTTTTTATCCTCAGTCTCATGAAGCCTGTAGATATCAACCCAAGTGAAGATTGGATAAATGTAAGAAAACTTTATGAAAGAGATCCTTTTTTAATTCATCAGTTTTATCATCATCCTTCAAATGCTTGCATGCGCTTTCAACATTTATGTTTCTTACGGGCTACTGGACTTATTCTAAGATATCCCATTTGATCAGATTGTTCAGTTACATCAATTTATAAGTATCTATGTGGATTGTAATCACGTCTGTAACTCTATCCAGTATCATTTTTTTCTATTTTATAAGCCATTAGATCCAAAATACCCCTGAAGTTCTGATTCCCTTTCACTCTGATGCAGATGGCCATTGTTGGGGTGGCACCGCAAATATGTATCCTTATACTTTTTAATGACTTATTTTAAAGAATAAGTACTTTTTATAAGAAGAAAGTGCTTTTACTTGGATAAGATGCTTTTGCCAATGAAATAAAAAGGTTTTTAAAGCTGGAAAAATCTCACTTTTGTGATTTTAAAAAAGCAATGGATCGGTGCTTTTTGAAAAGAGAAGTACTTTTAATGCTTAGATCAGAAAGCACTTCTTATAAAAGTATATGTCATCCTAAAGAGGCTTTTTGTTTCAATTGTTGCTTGCGTGCCTCACAGCTTCTCTTTATCAAATTCAATATTTCAGATATTTTTATCTATCTTTGACTATGATCAGTGATGGAGAGTGCTTATAGAAGTGTGGCGTTCTACATTGGACAAAAGGAATTGGAAATGGAATCTAAAATGAACAGGATTGTAACTCAGTGCAGGCAGAAATGTGAGGTCATGGAACAACAATTCTCTGAAAAGTTGGAACAAATGCAAACGGCATATCAGAAGATGTCTAAGAGGTGCCAAATGATGGAACAAGAGGTTGAGAATTTGTCTAGAGACAAGAAAGAGCTTCAAGAAAAGTTTGCTGAAAAAACCAGGCGGGGTTTTTATGTTCAGCATTATATTATCATTAAGCATATACATATTTGTGTTATCTATCTTCAATATGACCATATCTGTTTGCTAACTAGCAACTTGCTTACTGTACTGGCAGACAAAGGAGAAAACTTGAAGAGATGTACGATGAATTGAGCAGCGAATACGGATCAGTAAAGCGGGCAGCCATTCGTCCTGCTCCTAAGTGTTATTCAAGAATGAACCCTAATAATCTCTTCTCAAATCCTGCTAATATGACACATTACAGAGATCATATCAGAAAAGGTAACTCCTTTCTGTTTCAAGATGCTGACATTAGTTTTCCGTTCTGTTTCAGCGTACTACGCCTAGTTATGTGATACATATATCGTTAAAGACTAGTTGAATTATATTTCATGCAGAGTGGTCAGTTTCAACTCCTGACACACCTGGGCCCAGAGAAGGTATATGGCCACCTCCAGCAAGACAAAATACTAGTGACTCTGGCCCCTATGAGATATCAAGCGACTCCGCCGCAAAACAACCAGGAATTTCAATGGATGGTGGAAACACCACTGGTGCTCGTCCAGTGTTTGGCCTTGAAACTGTGGGTAGCAACCCTTCAATGATCATCAGAAACCTCATCATTTCACCAATAAAGAGGCCTAATATAGGTCTCCGCCAACTCCAACTATCCTCATAAATCTCTACTTTACGTGTGACATCCCTGTCTTTAAACTTCACCCAATAACAATTATACTCTGTCATAGTTATAACAATGATAACGATGATGAACATAGCTGTAATAGTAAATAATATTAATGATAAAAATAATGATATTAATAATAAAAAATAATTATAATCTATTGCCCCTCACAAAAACACTTTAAACAAAGCTATTTTATGACATTTTTATTGATTTATTGTTCTTTCACAAATAGAAAGGTGTGTGACGCCCTAAGAAAATTCCTAGAATCTGCTCTGTTTTTTGAACGAACAAAAACATAACAAAAAGGCTTATGCAATTGTAGCATACTTGAAATTCCACTTCTGTAGTTCTGTATGCATAATTGCATATATTTGGACATTTGGAGGTGCAGTTGATATGCAGATACTATTATTACACAGGAAAATACATAAATGAAATGATATTTTACCAGGTTTAGTTTTGCTACTAGCCTATTAGTCAATATTGTCCCCAACTTCTATTATGGACTTGATTCGGTTGTTAAATATGCATTTTGGGGGCTACATATCTAAATTAAAACCCAAAAGAATGTCCAAAACCATATTGAGTAATATTGTGCAATCAAGTGACCTAACAAGGCATTAGCTCCATTAAATATCCAACGTGTCGAGAAATAATAAAATTGGATGGAATAGCAGAATGCAGAAAATTATGCTTCTATTATATAGAATTGATTTTGTCATTAAGAATATTATCCACATCTCATGATAACAAATGTTTAGGCAAAAAGACTTTCAAAATGGGAGCAGCAGGAGATAGTGCAACTATATCCCCAAGCTGGAGATGACAAACGGCATGGGACCCATCAACGCATATCATTCCCTCTTTACATTGCCACTGAATCTCCATCAGCTCATTTGGCTTTATAATTCCGTGCATGAATCCACGATTTACACCAGGAGAAATGGGTTCCCTCACAATATATTGGAGGTCCTTTGACAGAATAGGCATAGCAAATCCACCTGCGGATAGCATAGCTGCCGTTGATCCAGCTGCCGTTGACACTCTCAAACCACTTGATCTGCAATTGACCAAAGGGGAACATGACAATCCCTCTTTCTTTATTCTGTTCAGCATTAAGAGAACTGGTCAAACTAGTTTTGTCTTTAAGCACCACCACATAGGCACAAATAAGCTATCAGTAATGCTTGCCTGAATGAGAACCTTGAGACTGTGGCAGGACTAAGTTCGGCAACTAAAACGTCATTAAGAGCATAAGTTGGCAGGTTTTGGGAGTTGAGAGAAATTAACATCCTTGACACTTCAGAAGGCTTGGAACGTTTCTCAAGAATATCATCTAATACCTGCATTCAAGATATTCATTAAAACAAAAGGATAAGCAATTTTCATTAATTTGAGTATGCCTGATACCCTGAAAGGATTGTAACAATTACAAATGTCCCCCAGTCCCAAAATATGATTTTTGGTATGCCTTTTGTCCCAAATGAGAATCATATTTGATCAAACAGAAACAAAATAATCATTAATACGAATTAAGCCAAACAAACAACCAATTTTCTTTACTAGAATTCCATTACTTTAAAGATTACTACCCTGTTAAAATTGAAATGTTGTACTTTGATTAGACATGACTTTTTCACTTTTGGAATGCCCAATATAATGATCAACAGTCAAATACTCCGTATAAATTTACAAGCAAACATATAGAGTTTTAGGATGGATAAGAGAAGATACTTAGGAGTAAATGGTATTACTTGTTCAAAGTTATTAACAGTGGCAGCACAAAGATAGCCGGTGCTCCTTGTAGCATCAAAATCTTCTTTGAATTCTTCCACCTGCTCGGAACGACAAGCTTTTGTAGCGAAATGGTCATCGAGAGATGAAATTACAAACAATAAAAAGGCTTAATAAATGACAACAAAATCCATGGACCCTTTATGAATATCAAATCAGAAACTGACCTCTGTTGGTTGAGTTGGGTCAGAGTTCACTCCAAGAACAGGAACTGTATCGTCCAAAAAATGGCTTGCCTGTAACAATGTGCCATCGCCACCAATGGTAAGAACTAGATCCACATCGCGGACTGGCTGGGACAACTCATGACGGGAGACAGAGACACAGTCAATAAACTTTTTCCTCAACACATTCTGGCAGAAACTTATAGCATCTCTATGAACTAGTCGCCTGTTATCTAGATGTTTAAGTATCTGCAGTTAATTGAGCAATGCCATCGAAATACAAGTTAGCACTGCCTGCATAAGTCCCCGTTTGGTCATTGTTATTTAACCAAAATGGCTGCTGAATTTTCTGAAAGAAAAAAAGTTTTATAACATCGATTTCAGCCAAATGAGTAAGTAGAGCTACCAAACAGCGCATGTTTATTACTTTAGGTTCCACAAACGTGAGGGATTTATGAAACATACGGAGTATGGTATAATTCAATTAGCTGATTCTAACAAAACCCACTTTAGTAAAGAAGTCTAACTCTGGGGATTTCCGAATTCCCACCCACATAGCTTTGGCATATTGTCAAACACGTAATGAATACACACATATTTACGCAAAAGCTTGACGGTGAAGCTGAAAGGGATTCGTCGATGAGTTTGAATTTTTTGGCATATATGGAATTACCTTAGGGTTCGTGAAGTGTGAAGTGAGATGGCCATTGGAGTAGTGCGATGGGTACACGTCAAGAGGTTTCAGCAACAACAAAAATCTCCTCCTCGCCATTGTTGAATTGTGAGTACTTTCTTCCTTCCTTCGCTTTTACTCCGTCATAGGCTCATAGCACAACATGTTTTTTTGGCATATTAATATATTTCAATATTTCATAACTAGACGAACTACCTATGCGATGCACGGGGTATATCTAGAATATGACACAGTAACATATTATTTAAAATTATATTTTATTAAGATGATACATAATTTTGGTAAATAAAAAATATATCATTTTGGTAAATAAAAAAAGATATTAGGTTTTATTTATTGTAAATTTGATTATAATATAGAACTTGTAAGGAAATAAAAATTTGGACCGTATGAAAATCATAAGTAAAGTTAAAATTAATGATAAAGTGTAACAATAAGCTTTATTACAATAAAATAACACTGTAGTACAATTATTAGTGAGTCACATAAAATTGTATAAAAAAAGTAATCATATATCTTGATAATGTTAAAAAACTATCATAATTTTAAAAAAAAATACATTATATGCCACTGGGGTTGATAACCCGAACCTTGTCATCAAACTTATGAATCTCTAACCCACCCGTTAAGGTGGCAATTTACACGACAACATGCAATTGATCATGCATAAGAGTGCATTTTGGGTATATGCCCACTTGATGGGGTGGAGACAGGGGGAGGCTGGCGGTGGCCTCGGCCCCTGCAAGAAAAAATTTGTGATGTGTATAAATATTTATAAGTAGTAAAAAATATAGTGAAAAATTAAGTTTTGGCATCTGCTATATAAATTCCTTAAGCTTCAGCCCCTATAACATGTCAACCCTGGCTTTGCCACTGCCCACTTGCATACACATTATCTTTGACTGTTGTTTATGTCATGGACTCATGGGAAATGAAACGCTGATTGGGAACTTTTTGTGTAAAAATTTGAAAGAAGCCAAGGTAAATGACAGGATCAATGATGATTGTGAAACCAATATTTTTTCCGGATATAATCTTCACCTCCAAAACACATTTACTATTATCCGTGTGAGTGAGAATTCATTCTCATTCATCAAACTCTTGTTTGGTGCTAAGAATTGTTCCATGTTTGAAACATTTAATAAAGCATAAGGATACATATATTGGATAGTTTACAAATAAATGCAAAGTAAATATCCATTTATATCATTAAGATGCACATAATCCATGAATATATTAAAAACACTATGCCAATAAGAGGTTGCACACAATTTACTCAAAAAATGGAGAACAATCATACATTAATGTATTTTTTGTGATTTCAATCTAGCCCAAACAATTCACATTGAATAACGGGGTGTCAATATATAATATATATTTAAAACAGGGTTATGGTCTAATTCCATAGTAATATATTATTATTCAATTGGTATGTGTTGTGATATTTTTGTTATTACTTGTGGTTTAAGATATTTTAAAAATGACATGAATTTTATTTTCTAGCTGTCTGAATTGATCTTGTATGGTTCGGTAGATGTCTATTGTTTGTGTATTTTTGTAATTGTCAAAGTCATCTAATATAATCTATTTAACTGTAGTCTGGTCTAAGACTGAATGCTATATCTTTTTCATTTCAAATCAACACTCTTTCAAACACTACCAATTTTCACTATTAATCGTTTCTCACCTAATATTTAAAATAAACCACTCATAAAAAAGAGAAGCAAAAAATAAAACTTTCCTAGGGGGTTGGGCCTCTTTGGCCGGTGACCATATTTTTTTACTTATCAATTTCATCAGCCAATTTGATCACCAGACACGAAACTTTACATCAAAACAGTGCTCAACAGTGCAAAACAATGTCAAACAGTGTCAAAACAGTAAAGTTTGCCCTTGATAAGTTTATTTTCTTAATATGTGTGTAAGTCAAACCGGGAACTTCTTTAGCGGGACAGAGGGAGTATATACTCCTTTCGTCCCCCATGATATAAAATACACTTTTCTTTTTGGATTGTCCAAAAAAGATTATCACTTTCCCTAATTAGATTCTATTTAACCTTTTACTTTCCTACTTCATTCATCTATCTATCTGTCATTTCATCTTTTATTTTTTGTGGACCCATCTTTCTAATTCTTGCTTTTTGGAAGTTAGAAGTGTGAAACAAACACTTTATCTTTTGTTTTTTTTATAGCTTTTTATAAAAAATATATAGCTTTTTTTTATACATCGGAAAAAAAAGAAATATATAGCTTTACATGTAAACATATTTGTATAAAATAATTTTCGTATCTAAGAACTATATAACATACGTAATTGTCTTTTTCCTCGCTAATTATATCACTATTCTTGTTGGCATTGTTATTGGAAGACGAAAAATTAAGAATTGAACCATTTTGGTGCTATATATTTCTATAGGCAAATTCTTCACGTTTTAAAAACTTAAAATCAAAATGATAAAAAAAATTAAAATCAAACTTAAAATTACTTAAATGACAGTTTTTTTCCAGGAATATTCGGCAGAATATTTTAGGCACCTTTATGCAATTGGACAGAATATGGATTATTTAGATTTTAACAAAAGCAACCGCGCTAGTAAAAAACAAAAGTAACTGCAATTGCTTTTTTATTGTTTAGCTGCTTGTATATACATAGCATATACTTCGTATACTCGTATAAGGCAATTTGTTTTCTTTTTTGATGGTTCGTATAATACAATTTGAAAAGTGGACATATATAGAGGGCGTTTGACAACACTGTTTTTCGACTTATCAGACAATTTTTTCACTTAACACGCAACTTTTGATTTCGCGCGCTCAATTGTGTAATAAGCAGAAAAAGTAAGGTTGAAGTTACTTTTCTGACTGTATTGGCTGAAGTTACTGTAGATGACCATTTTAACTATTTTTACACAAAATTTTTTCTTTATTTTATTAATAAAATTTTTTTTAAATTTTTTTAGATCAATAGAATCAGCCAATATAGTCACTTCAGCCATAACACTATAAATTTCAGCAGAATCAATCAAATCAGTCGATTTTGATGCTACCAAACGGGCACATAATCTAGCGGATTATAGCCTAGCTTGAATACATAACGTTCGTTGGATATATGGAATATGTATGTATGGTTGTGCATTAATTTAATTAACTGGAATAATGTATATATTTATTACCACAATAATTACTCACCAATTGATTTGATAGCAAGTATGGAGCCGTAACTCTACTACCTAAAGTAGCAATTAGTATGGAAAATAGTTTTGGTAACTTTTGTATGTAACAATAGAAATCTTTTGGTCGGCATTATGGAAAATTAGTTTGATAACTTGGTAATAACCGTAGGTTTGGCACATTATCAGCATTGATTAGATATACCTTATTTGAAATAGTAAATGCTATATTTTGCAACGTATTGCAGGTAATACAAAACGGGTGGCAACATATTACATTTTTACCCTCTTTTTGGGTGGCAACTTTGGCTCCAAAACCTGTAGCAGATTTTGCTACTTTATATAATATAAAGATACGAGAAAAAATGAGAGACAATTCCCTAAATAGAGACGTTTTCAAATTACAAAATAGGCTTTAAACATGTCATTTTTTTCCAAACTTGTCAGATTACTCTTATTCATGGAATAAAAACATGATAGTCCTATTTTGAAATTTCAAAACGTTTTTACTCTTATTTAAGACAATTTCTGGAAAAATTGTGATGATGGTAAATAAACGATGAAAGATGTTTTTTGTCCCAGACAACCACTAGTTGAGATCAGACCAAAATTGGATATTTATAAAATACATAGAGACCAATCCTTTATCAAATCCGATCAGAAAAGACCAGACCAGACAAGCAAATTTCAGTCCAAGTAAAACATTCTAAGTACATCAATTTGTACGAGGTGGAGTAAAGAGTACACTATATTGCATCTCACATTTCTAAGTTCATAAACTTGGGTTTTTAGTGTTAATTGAGTATACTCGTTACATAAGTAGTTGAGTTAGCTAACATAATGGTGAGAAGAAGTGGAAGTCGACTAAGAGAAAGTTGACCAAGGTTGTGACATCGACCTTTAGGAAGTCGACCTAAAAGGGGAAGTAAACCAAGGTTTTAGCTTCGACTTCTAGAGGTCGGCCATCGGGGGCGTCGAGCTGCTTGGGTGCATTGACCAAGGGAAGTCGACTTGCAGGGATTGGCGTCAACAAAGGGGTTAAGGGCTGGCGTTGACTATCAGGAAGTCAACCTGTTAGCATTTCATTAGCCAACTCAACTGTATTAACGTGTTAGGATGTTTTTACTTGGACTGTAATTTGTTGGTCTGGTCTGGTTTCTTTGTATTTTTATAACTATCCAAGTCTAGTCTGGTATGGTCTGATCTGGTCTGGTCTAGTCTGGTCTGGGACAAATTACAGTCCAAGTAAAAACATCCTTAATCTAATGGCTGTACTCAATTAAGTCTAAAAATCCGAATTTATGTCCTTAAAATGTCAAATGCAATTTAGTGTAACATTTAGTTCACCTCATACAAATTGATGTACTCAATTGACCATTTTCTTGTTAATAAATTGCTCTGTAATCCGTGTAAATGATGTATCCTATTTAATAAGGAAAACATAGCCATATGTATTGAGTTTAAAGCCGCAATAATGTCCATAGTAACAGTATATACACTACCAAAAAAACACGGGATTGACACAGAATTTGGCACGGAATTACCGATTTTTCGTGCCAAATAGCTCGTGCCAAGTGTTTTTGGCACGGATTTGGCTTAATCCCTGCCAAAATCCCTGTCAAAATCCCTGCCAATCCTGTGTTTTTTTTGGTAGTGTATATTATATCATTCATTCATCCGTCCTTTAATTTTAATATCTAAATTTTTGTTAGGGCTTCTATATGAGTAATATGTCTCATTATTTCACATGTTAATAAGAGTTCAAGACTAAAACTTATTTTTCGTTTCTCTCAAGGCTCAAGCTTACTGCTTCTTCTATACCGTATCAACTTTTACTTTAATCTTATCACTTACGATAGTATACTTTAAAACAATATCAATTTTTACTATTAAACACTTTCTTAAGAATCACATTCAAAAATCATTTTTAATTTGAAACTAATCGAAACACTCTATTTGTCCTTGGGTTGTAATCTAACAC